GAAAGCGAGTGACTCAACCCACTCAATTTAATATGCTTTTAAGGATCTTTTACATATATTGCTTTGGTAGCATGACTGATAATTAGCAACTTTGAAAGCATGGCTCTTGATTTTATGTGCTAGCTTCCCTGAGTCTATGAAAGGACATCTCTGGCACGGCCTTAATTCTCTACGCAGTGGGCTTAGGGGCTTCAGTCTGGCTGGAAGGGCTCAGCTAGGGCACTTGTCTTGAATCTGTATATGCATGGAAAATGTACAGTTTTAATTTAGGTTGTAGATTTGGGGATATATATTTAGAGAAGGAAGCTGGTAGAGATCACTGGTCAGGAGGAACTAAAGTTACCCTAAGTCCATGAAGCCCTCAGAAAACCCTCCTAAAACATACATACAAGTACTAAATAGATTAGATATGAGCACAGAGGGCACAGAGAAGGGAAAGATGCCTGAGGGGACTATTCAAGGAAGCCTTCTTATAGGAGTTAAACTTCTCATTGATCTGGAGGTATAGCGAAGAATCCACAGGCATGGGGAGGAGAAATATGGATGAAAGGCTCATGAGCACAGAAGCATTTCGATCAGTCTTGGAGGGGCTTCCAGTGAACCCAAGAGCTGCTTCCTTTTCATTTCCTTTATTTAAAGAAAATGGAGGAAAGTTGTTCAAACATGTTGTGATAGAGGAAAATAACTTACTTGCTAGAGTGTGCCCTGCCTTTTTAAAAGAATATGTGTAATTTTCCCTGATCTTACTGGAGACAAAAAAAAAAGTAACTTACTGTTATTTCAGAAATATCTGTGTATCCCTAGAATACATTAGCAGACATATAGTATGTGCTTAATAGATGTTTGTTGATTTAAATGGAACAGAGAAAAATTAACTTCCTTTAGGTCATTTAAAATTATGTTAGAGCATTTAAAGGCTCTACTTGCTAATTCATTTTTGTTAAAAAAAATTCTCAATCAGAGATGGCCAAGATAACGGTCAATTATATGCTTTATGAAAATGATTATCTATTAAGCATCAGTAGGATTTTAAGCGTGGGGTTAAAATAGAATTTGTTCAGGGAGTCTATTAAACTACCTGGGGATATAATTCTGAATCTCTTACTGATGTCATTAATTTCTTTGGTTTTGTTTTCCCATTCATAAAATGGAGGTAAAGATAGTCCTGTCGTTTAACACCAAGGACCCTGTAAGGATAACCTATCTCCCACTTAAATCATGGTTCATATCGCATGACTGGAAAGTAGAACATATGGTGCGTGACAAGAGTTGTTAGCCATTTGGGGAAGAACAAAAAGATCATGACAGCAATTTGTAATTTGGTTCATCTCTGTAGTAAATTAGTTAAGAATTTTGCCGTAATTTGAGGGCAAGGGGGGGGTGGAAGAAAAGGAAGATTTGGTCCTTTTTCCGTCCTCCCCTTTTAGGGTCCCTCTCTGATTCCGCTTCAGGAAGTGGAATAGAAAAAAAAAAAACTACATTCGTCAGTAACTCTGGGGTAACCACAACTAAGACAGTAAGGAGGTCAGTTGAAATAAGGACAAGTGATTGCTATAAAACCGACAGGTACTCTCATTGACATAGCACAGGCGTAAACAGGGTGACACACACACACAGGAGGAATTACTACACAAAGCAGGCAACCAGAGCAGAATGACAATGACCATCCTGCGCAACACGGCCATGGTGAGTAAAAATAAGTCCTGTTTCGTAGCCGTCATCCCTAGGATTTCAGGAGAGCAGATTTCTAAAGAATTAGGCCTGATTGGCGTCTTTATTGGTAATATTTCTTTTTTTTTTTTAAAGATTTTATTTATTTATTTGAGAGAGAATGATATAGAGAGAGAGCATGAGA